TGCATATAATTTCCGATGTTTTTCTATGTTTTCTATGTATTTATAAACCATCAGAGAAATGCATTGAAAGTAAATACATAAAATTTTCTATGTTTTTTATGTATTTCTATATATTTATAAAAAAAATCATAGAATTTCACTCGAAATAAATACATGTGATTTTCTATGTTTTTCTATGTATTTATCCACATTATAGAAACACAGCAGAAATTCACTCATATGTTGATCTGTGTTCTTCTATGTTTTTCTATATTTTTTCTATGTATTTACCCTCGACCATATGTGCTTGTTTTCAACACGATGCTGCTGGCATTACTAACACTTTAAAAATCAACTTCGTTATATATGTAGGTGTGTTTAAGCGCTTTTTAACCATTACTTATTCTTTTCGCTTCGTCTCTTTCTACAATAGCACAGTTTTATTTGTTTTGCTTTACATCACTGTGTGAATATATGTTTGTATTTTGAGTAATTTTGTATTATTTTTAAATTCATGCTTAATTCGAATCGGTATCCGAATCGCTTGGTGGCACAGGAGATGCCACAGGTTTAGGCGTTGGCTCCTCACGTATCGGGCGCGTAGCCGCCATATATGCGTTTGTAGACTCGCCGTGTGTCGTCTCGATGCCAACCCTAAAATAATGAACGAATATTAAATGAAAAGTTAAATTTTATTGTACCATCTGATCAAATTTGACACGGACTGGTACATTTAAACTAAAAAAGAAGTTAATAATAACAATAACATTGAAAATATAATGAAAATGTTTAAAAAACATTATTTTGACATCGAAGAATCAACAACTCTCAACGATTGACTCAACTATTTTGGGCCCCCCATGGGTTAGCAATCTAAAATAAACGCTCTACTTCGAACTTTGGATCTTCAAAATCAAGCGTATGATTTCTTGAATAGGACATTACAAAACTTACTTATACTCATGACGTGCCAAATAGCGTACATATTTCTCGGGCGGCTCATCGGAATCCGAATCTTGTACGCTCACCGAACGCACTGTTGTATGCGAAACCTGTGTCGCTGGCATTGTGAACTCAACGAAGGCGTAGGGCGCCAGCTCGCTGGGTATCTGATCGTATGAAGTCAGCGCCATACGACAAACAAGTTGATGTGTAGTATAAGCGCCTAAAGAGTAAGTGAAAATTGAAACTTTACTACAATTTCCGCTCAAAAAGTTAGAATCTTCAACAAACCTTGTCCTTCCTTTGGCAAACGTGGACAGCGCCAGACGATAGCGCGATGATGATGCTCGTATTTCGCTTGACCAGAAGTGACTTCAATAAGTGACTCCTGCAGCGTATCGACAGCGCCGAGAATGCGCTCAATGCCTTTGATTTTACCGGTTCGTCTATGAGCGGACTTAACGGAGCCATATCTGAAAGATTGTACCACAAATTTCAAGTAATTTTGGTGTCTTCTAATTTATTAGATGGTTTATACTAGTACTGTGTCTTACCTAAAGTGTTTTTCCACGCGGAACAAGTAGATCCAACATTCCGGTATGGGAAACCGCACCGAGACATCTTCGCATGGTATTTGTCCTAATTTACGCGATGTAAAGCCCGGCACCAATATATCTGCACGCAACTCCACCTTATTACCAGTTACACACCATGTGGCCTTCAGTTGTAATGGAAGTTCGCGATTTTTGGGTGGACGCACACGGAAACGTAGTAACTCTATATAATTCGCGTCCGGTGGCTGGAACCTACATTATGCGAAGGCATATATATATGGAGACTGAACAAGTTTCTTAAATGTGAAATTACTCACTTAATTGTACGCGTCTTCTCATACTCCTCCTGATTCACCACACTGTGAAACTCTACAGCTTCCAAACGGATCCACTCTTCTGTGGCAACCGGTATGATGTCGTGTCGACCGACCACTTCTTTGCCCTGACGCCACATATCGTTTACGCCCAACTCGATTGAGGGCATACCTAAAATTAAAAGTAGCTCCTTAGTTCCGAAATCCGGTTCTCTCTCACTTTAAGTTACCCGTTAGAAAAGCTAGAAAGAAAAGACGCACACGCGCTATTTGCTTCAAAATTTTGCCCTCATAATCTTGTTCCACAACGATTTCGTCGACTGCCGTTACTTGTACCTCCTCCATTTTATAGGTTAGTGCACGTTCACGCAACGCGGGCAAACGGAAGAGCGCCTCTTCTATACAAATGGAGAACTGTTTCATATCCTCGTAGTTCATTGAGCCAATTTTGAATAATTGCGACGATTGTGGTGCATGTTCAACCGGTAAGCCCAGCTTCTTCAAGTCACTACCGAACTCTTTCACACCTTCATAATCACCCGCAATGGCGTATTGTGCAAATTTCGTCAGCTTATTAGTGATACGTTCGGCTTTGGTTACTTGACCAGGTCGCACACCGGGACGCTCTTTATAGAAGATATATTGTAGCTTAATGGTAAATATTTTGCCAAACTGATCGTATTGTTGTGCTCCAATCTCCGAGACAGAGTATGAGGGCTGCAGCGGCAATTCTTGGAATGGTTGTTTATCCGTGACCTGATTAAGCAACTGCACTACAGGTACATCGTTCTGTATTACTAGTCGTACAAATATTTTCTTCCAAAATCTTTGGCCAGTTATTTTCTTTTTGTTCGGTTGACGCAATTGCATTTCCCAGCCGGGGCCGACATAGTTCAGACGCGGGAAATCTTCGAGCGGCTGCGAGACATCTTCATCGAACAGCGGCGTTTGTGGTGTATCTTGTGAGTCTGTGCGTTTTACTTTGTTTTCTTCACTTATTGCCGCCGGTGCCGGGAAGCCGGTGTCTTCGAAGGGATTGACAACAGGCGACGTATCGCTGGAAACTTGACTGACGGCACTACGCGCTGGTGGTGGCGGCGGTGCCAATTGTGGTGCAATTCCCTGTGTGCTTTCGCCTTTAGGCCGTATTACGACATTGAATTCCTTGTCTACGGACTCAACCGAATCGGCGCGTACTGGTGCTTTCATTGCGTAGAAGTCATCATCCTCATTCTCGAAGCCATCGGTCACGCCAAAGACATTAGTTGTCGCAGCAGGTGAACCAAATGCACTGTCACCCCAAACTAAAAAAGGAATAATGCAGAAATGAAAGGTATATTAATATAAAATGACACTAGTGATAACCTACCGTCACCGCCTGAGGGAGTAACAGCACCCGAACCACCAAAGCCATCCAGTATGCTCACATTATCCTTCTTAACAGAATCAAATTTGGCCGAGAATGCATCAAATTCATCTGGCTCACTGGCAAAGATATTATTAGCTGTGTATGAATTTACTGTGATAGCTTCTGGTTCAGGATCCGGTGCAAAAATATTAACTGGCACAGCAGATGTTGTCATGGTGTCTGTCGCTGTAGTAAAGATGTTGGTCACCAGTGTATGGTCAATATCGTCAACTGCAAATATATTCGTCACCGCAGAAGCCGGTGGATAGGTCTCTTCCTCTTCGTCTGGACTAGCAAATGGATTTGCAGAAGCAGCACCACTCGGAACAGCACTAGCCGGTGCGAAATCCAGACCCGTATCCATTTGCTCAAACTCACTGTTCTGCTGTTCGGTAATAGCCTCCAAAGATGACTCTGGCAGAGCCTGCGTGGTTGCTCCTGACTCCGTAGGAGGACTGTGATCGGAATCGATAGATGTAAAGGCTGCGGGTTCTGCAGCCACTGGTACAACCTCTTTTTCATCTTTCTCCACTTCTTCATCATCTTCGTCGGGACTTGGCTTGGTTTCAATGACCACCGGTGGTGCTGGTTTTACTGGCTCTGGCTCGTCTTCATCGTCAGAACGTGGAAGATCTTCTACAGTTGTTATTTCAATGTCCGGAGTTGGTGCACGTGGTTTTGTGTCATCGACTATCAGTTCTTTTCTTTCCACACTATTTATCAACGATATGTTTAGATCTGCTGCCTGTGGTTGAGATGTAATATCATGTGTACTCTCATCAGGTCGAGTTAGCATAGAACTGAAAATAGGATCTTCTATTTCTTTATTCTGTTCGTCATCTAGCATTTCTGGCGAAGGTTCAAGTACAAGATCATCGCTTAATAGATCTGGTTTGGATACTGGTTGTGCTGGCTTCTCAAACAGACTTAATATGTCTTCCTTGCTCTTTGGTGGTGGTGGTTTAGATGGTTTGGTTGTGCCAAACATATCGAATAGATCTTCACTATCTGCCACCTCAGCAGCGGGCTGAGTAGCTGGCTCCGAAGCTGGTGGAGTTGGTCGTGGAGGTGGTTGATTGCGTTGCGCTGGTATACCATTTGGTGGTGACGGCCTTGGTGGTACTGGACGTGGTGGTGGTGGTCGCGGAGGTTGCTGCTTTGCTGGTGATGGCATAGGTGTTGCGCCATGTAAACTAGGAATGGCTGTTGGCACACCGAAGGGATTATCTGCACTACTATTAGTACCATTACCAACTAGATCCATTTCGAATCCATGCATATTACCAGACGAACCACTATCTGATACATCTAGCAAGTCTGCCAAACCAGAATCTGGTGTAGGACTAGGTGAATGTAAGTCACGCATTGAAACAGGACTAGGAGAACGAGTAGCTGGTATTCGACCGAGTAACTCAGAACTTGTCTCCTCCATTTGGTTAGAAACTGTATTAATAAGTTCTTGTGTTTGTGGTGGCACTGGTCGTGGTGGTGGACCTCTTTTAGAAGTTTCATCATCTTCTTCAGCTGTAGACTTAATGCTAAGTGCATCATCCTCCGCTTCAATAGTAGTGCCAAAGAAGCTCATCGCTGGATCAATATCCGATGCTGGTGCTGGACCGTCATCGGGTTCATCGCCAAATGCAAATGGATTCGATTGTCCCGAGAAAGGATTCTCTGTTTCTGCTTCGCCCTCTTCAGTATCGACCTTTGTGAAGAAAGGGTTCGCTGTGGGATCGGTGTCAACGCCATCCAAGTCATCATCCATCAAAAATGGATTCGCCATTATGGTTTATAGTAGGTTTATCGAATTATTTGTATGAAGTTTAACGCTCAATTAATTCACTCTCCAATAACTTGATTTCGGTTGCGCCTGGTGCCAAATTCTCCGCAATTGAAGTGTCAAACGGATCAACTTCTTCGGGAAGTGTAAGTTGTTTTACAGGTACCGAAGGTGTTAACACCTTATCGCCTAGACCGAGTTCTTGTGCGTCTGTCTGCGTATCAAGCACACCAGTTGTAATCTGTGGAGCCGTAGGAGGTAGCAATTCACTCTCCAAAAGTTTTAGCTCTGCTCTGCCTGGTTGCAAATTAGACGCAATAGATGTGTCGAATGGGTCTATGTACTCAAGAGCGTCGTCCGTTAGGTCTTTACTCTCTTGAGATGGTGTCAGCACCTTCGCCTTTATATCTTCTTTTACTGCTAATAGCTCCTCTGCCGGCACCGGTGTAGGTGGAGCACGTGGATCGAAATCGGGATCGGATAGACTGTGTTTTAGAGTATTTTTTGTTAGTAAATCTTCTTCGAGATGCTTCAGTTCAACCTGGCTTGGTTTCGCTTCTGGTACGTATGAGGTGTCGAAAGGATCTTCTGCCTCTTTTTCACTAATTGTTTCTTTTGATCCAGTCGGTGCGTAATAAGGTGTCAATGGTTTCTTGTTGCCGTGACCGTCATTCGCGGCACCAAGCAAATCTTGTGAAGGAACCAAGAAGCCAACACTTTTTGATTGGATATTCAAGCTTAAGGAAGACTTGCGTCGTGCAGTATCAAAATCAATAGTCGAATTATTATTTTGAGTTTGCACAGGTGGTGCGGCCGGACGAGGTGGTGGCACTACAGCCTTTGTTGGAACTGGTGCTGGTTCGTCTGCACGTGGATCAAAGTCTGGATCACTAAGTGAATGCTTAAGATTACTTTCAGGTAAGAGTTCACGCTCCAAGAACTTTAACTCCGTCGCCTTGGGTTGAACGATTGCACTGACTGCAGAAGTATCGAATGGATCAAAATCGGCTGGGTCCTCCTCAACCTCCTGTGTAGGGGCTATGGGTGCAGGACCAACCTTGGACAAATCAGTAGTGCTGCCACCCAACAAATCACGTGTTGGCTGTGATAATAAGTTTGCAGCTGGTGGTGGCGGTTTGACGGGCGGTACAGATTTTTCCTCGGCCCGTGGATCAAAGTCGTCGTCTTCTTCTAGTACGGTAGTCTTTTTGATGACTTGCTCAGCGTATGCAGTATTGAATGGATCGTCAGCAGCGTAATCTTCTTCGTCGTCACTTATGTATATGGCACCTGCAACTAAGTGCGGACCAGAGGCAGGTCTAGCTGGTGGTGGAGGACGTGCTGGTTTAGCTAGAAATGAAATAGAATGTTTGTATGCTTAAAAGGAAATTAAATTGATTTCATTTTGTAGAATACCTTCACTGGTTGCTTCCTCTTCGGGTACTTGCTCAAATTCTGCCCAATCTGCGTCTACAACTTCTGAAAGTACTTCGGCTTGAGGAAGTGGTATCTGTGTGATAACTTTTATTTCTTCTTTTTTGGTTAACGATTCGGCTGCTAATTCAGCAAACTCATCATCATCATCGTCTTTAAGTGCATCGAATTCTGACAAATCCGGTAAGCCGGTGTCGTTTACCGCTTCCTCCTCCTCTTCTTCTTCTGGTTTTTTATGTTGTATCAAATGCAAATGTAATGAAACACTCAAATCAATTGGTGCATCTGACGCTGGTACATCATCAACAAGCTCGTCAAGTAAATTTTTCTGTGGTTCAGCAGCAACTATTTCAACTTCCTGATCGGCAAGATCAATACTCTCGCTCAGCAATAGGTTCTGTATACCTTTTCGTAGCTTCCGTTTAGGTTTGGCAAGCGCAAGTGCGTGCTCACGATCCACACGCCCCGAGAGGACTTCAACCGCCGCACCAAGGCTGACGAGTTTCTTATTACCCTTAGCCTTATCTGCGCCAACAATAACTTTTTCTGCATATGCTGTATCGAACGGATCAGGACCGTCGTCAAATTCCAATACCGGCGACTCAGGTACAACAGCTAATTGTACCTCTCCACTAGTTATCGCCTCTATATAGTCAGTAGCGAAGATATCATCGACCTCTTCGTCCTGTTCGCCTTCCGATTCGGAGAGTTCGACTACAGCTTCGGCTAATTTGTCACGTTGTGCCTCTAATTCGGCTGCCTTACGACGTTCTTCTTCCAAACGTTCCGCCTCACGACGTGCAGCTTCTTCCTCTTCGAGTCGTTTTTTCTCTGCCGCCGATGGTAAACGTTGATAGAAAGACTCTTTCTTAATACGATCTAACTCGTCTTGAGTTTTATGTAAAATAGAATCGACGCCGGACGTAAGCGCTTTGAACTTGGCCCACTCTTCGTCCTGTTCGGCACTCTTTGCAGCTGCGGCAGGCGCTGCGCCGCCGTTAGCGCTGGTATCCGCGTTTGCCTCAGTTGTTTCGGTATGCGCAGGAGCTGTGCTGGAAGTGGATGCTGCAGTTGGTGCTAAACCCTCAACGTCTGATGCTGCGTCCGATTCACCAGCGTCCGATTTAGCAGCGGCTGCCTCCTGCTTAGCTTTTAACTCGCGCTTATACTGTTCGAGCTCCTCTTCGGTGAAGAGTTCTTGATCCTTTTTCGACTTCTTCTTTTTCTTTTTTAAGCCCTTTGGTAACTTAAGCATTCTCTAATTGCGGAGACATCGATATCGGTCTGTAAAATGTGAAGTATATGAATGATTAGGAATTGATTACTTAAGTCTTCCAATTTAAACTATAATTGTGATTACACAGTAAGTAAGGTTATATGCATGACTATAATATACTGATTAGAAAAAAAAGCACTTTATTTTTTATGTAATTGCAAATTTTATGCAAATCAGTATGAAATGTTGTGAGATTAATGTTATACGAACTGCTTGAAGATTTTAAGATCCGTGAATTATATAGAATATCCTTTGTCGGCAAAATATTTATGGTTAAAAAAATGTACGCCAACATTGGCAACTCTGTAGTCAACATCGAGCTTCGAAATGAAATTCTTCCATTACCGAAAGTGTCTTAGTATAATTAATAATTGTCCTAGCATTCTTTTTTGGTGTAGACTCCGCTTACGCGGTTATAGCCGAGTTTACAAAAGCAGACCGTTTTCTTCTTTTCATTGGGGGTGTCTTTTAAATGGCGAGTCCCAAACCCAGCGCACAACCTTGAGGATTGATGTTTTCAAATAGATTTCTGGCTACCCAGAGGATACTTGACCTAAGTCGTAAGCTGCTTAAGCCACATGTGCAAGAGTCGTTTCTGACCACTCTCAAGTGAATAGTGTTCAGGAAGCTTTCCTAACTTCCATGAACTTCTACACCTCCATCCTCCACTACAGTTAAATCCTATATTTAAAAATATATATAAACTGTTTCGCAATTGACCGAGAGCCGCTAAAACCGATAAAAACCGTGAACTCTGACGACTCTAACCACTCAAAATAGTAGGAACTTTCAGAATGTCTTATATTATACAACGAAATTAAGGTCATCCAATGGTACAATACCTGTAAAAAGTATACAACGTAGTCATATTATATAAAATGGCTTCGGAATTCCAGTAATAATAATTTAAAAACCATAAAACAAAATGGAGAAGAGCATATGCCTAACAGGCTTTCAACAACGAACTGATTTTCATAGCTCTCTTCAAGCGCATGAAGATTTAGTCCAATTATTTCATTGATACTGAAGAACCGATGCTCTAAATGATAATGTTGATAAATCAACAGTAATATTTTTAAGATCCTTTTTTATCATCATTGTAATCCCATAACCTACACTAAAAGTTCTGTAAAAACGCTTGTGGAAGAAAGCGAACTAGTTGAAATTATTACCTCAACCATCCGAGAACAAACACCAGTTAATCGACATTGATACTAGTACAACCAGTGTTGCGCTCTTCTGTTTAAAAATCGAACACCGAAATATAGGAATCACCGTTGCCAAATGCAGTTGATGAAAACTCCAAAAGCACTTCTAATCTCGAAATTCAAAGTAGACATTAGCAGCAGATAAACGACAACTTGATGATACCATCAGCAATAGGAACTACAATCACAGCACGTTTTTTCGACCGGTATTATATATGTATGAATGTTCCAATGTAGGCGGCTTTTCATAGAATGCTTTTTTAATCCAAACTCTATATATATTTCTATCTCTCTTTCAAAAATCGAGCCATACCTTTACCTAGACTTAGACTAAATTAGACTATATCAATCGCTGCTTGAAACTTTTTATTGTATATACACCAATCAATATTTCGATCGATCAATACTTTGGTATGTACTAAAAATAAATAAAAAATGGACCATGCCAAGCCTGTAAACCCAATAACCCGAATGTAATCTCCACAGTTCACAGATCAATTGAAAAGTCCCCGGCCTACCATATTAAATTTCATCCTAAGAAGCACACTTTTAAGATTTGAGAACAGGAAATAATCGCCGTGGTCCGGATTTGGAGAATGCGATGCATGCGGCAGCCGTCCGGGACCCAATTAATGGTTTTTTTGTCATCGTTTCCATTGGCTTGTAACACCGTGCATTGCCTTGGTAGAACGGCACCTACTGTTTCATCGGCGACTTCGTCCTTCAAACAGTCCAACAGCGCTTTGTAATAGTCGCTGTTAATGGTCCTTCTTTTTGCAATGCGCATCCCAAAATACAGAAGACATAATCTTGGTGTCCGACTGTTATGTTTTCCACGCTTCAGAGCGTGTTCATCGTGTGCAATCTACTCGGATGACCGTTGATTACGCTAACTCGAGTTTATTACGCTTAAACATTTCCATACACTGCTCCGAATCATCAACTCGTAGTTGTTTTTGGTCAAAAGTGTCACATCTCGAACAAATTCACTTTACGGTCAGTTTATGGACTTTTTTGATATTTTCATCGGAAACAAACTCTTTGGGGCGTTCACCGTCTTCGGTGCTTATTTCATCACTTCTTAGTATACTAATCCTTGCTGATTGATTTTTCTAGGGCTGTGTCTCGAAATTCGTCATGAAGCCAATTTTTTGCTTTAACTGTTCTCAAATTTATACACGCGCCTTTTGAAAGTTAGGGATAACTATAAATCATATGCATTTAATTCTAGTTACGCAATCTATGTGCCAGTCCGGAAACTTTTCAATTGACCTTTCAATTTCCATAAAAGTAGGTAAACACAATATATTGGGATGAGATGACCTCAGCTGAGAGAAATAAACCCCGAGCCCCTACATAACCGAAGTTTCGTAATTTGACAGTGTCTCTTAAAGTGATTAGTTCAACGGTTTCCGTATATAGTCCTTAGCTTAAATGGAGCATTTAACGAAATTGAATTCAGTTATCCCCTAGCTTTGTTTGATAAACAAAAAATTATCGATATACATAAAGTACTGATGTTTTTCCCACTCTTAACACTTTTGCAACTTTTCATTGTATTAAGCTTCGGTTCCGCTCGAATTAATCAGTGTGAAATGTGTATTGAACTCAAAGAAATGTTAGGTTTACATAATGACATGCGGGTAAATCACAATGTATATATGTGTATATGTAAATATGTTTGGCTTTTTTGACCTATGAATGTACATATATATATATTATATATCAAGTAAAATCATTCGAAACTATTTTGCTATTTGAGTTTAAATGTATATGTATTTGTATTAAGCACGTATGTATGTATGTGCGTGTAAAGAGGAAAATAAAGAAAAATTAAGTAAGTGTAAGCTGACCTAGAACTATTATTGACCTTAGCTCTTCTGAAACTGGCTAACTATGCAAGTTCTTATTGTATTGGATAACAGATCAAACTTTTCTATATAAATTATTAATTACAAATGTAACTACATATACATATAAATATATATATATATACAATAAATATGTATGTATGTAGAAAAGCTGAAATCCCAAAGCATATTTAAAGGGTATATAGTACATATATATGATATATTTTACATAAATACTGTACATACATATGTATGCTCTTATATTTCCATAAGCATAGTAGCGAATACAAACACTATATATTTTTACAAGCATATAGCTAAACATACATATTTATGTACATGGGTAAGCACATCAAGGATTAAATTAAGCCTTCCGCTATTTATATTTTTAGTTTTTTTATACTACTATACCGTTATAATAACTTTATAACTCACCATTTGCGTTGACCTCACACCCACATGTACACTTCACTTATTTTCTCTTTCAAATAAATTGAATTTTTTCGGCTTTTTCAGCTGATTTTTATTTTTTCTTTTCTTTAATTTTTGTTGTTTCTTTTATATACGCCTTTCTTTTAACTGTTTGCCTACAAACACCAACACATATACGCGACAGTGGTAAAGCTCTGCGCTTACACCGAATTCTTACAAAATTCACCACTGTGCACTCTCAATTAAGTTCACCACAAACACTGCATGCCACCACCAACACCAACACCAGCTAGCAGCGCCCACTGACAGCAGCATAGCCAGCAATAGAATACAACATATACAGAAAATAAGTATGTATGTAACTACTCGGACGAAGAAGAAGAACAAGAGGAAGTGTTAAAAAAAGCGACGGACAAAAATGAAACTCATCTACGGTTTGGGTATATGTGGAAATCTATATTCGGGATATGCTGCAGCCAACGGCTGAGGGGAATAATCGATTTTTACAGTGACACACACGCACAAACACACACACAAGCACACAAAGCCACTGCGACTACTGCGAAGGGATGTGTGAGGATTTTTCTTGCATTCGATAAAGATTTTCTAATGAATTTTAGAGGGGATTAGGAATGGGCTATACAAACGTCAATTTATCAAAGAATAAGGTCAACGGAAAATATTACAGTTACGCGAACGCTATTAGGAAATAAAAATTATGTGTGGTTGTAAGCGTGTAGGTGAAAAAAAAGTCAAGAAAAAAATGTATTCTTCCACAGAATTTTTCAAACGCTTCAAAGTTTTCTGGTACGCTTGAACTTTGAAGGAAATTGTTCAACTTACGTCTTTCTGCGCTTAGTGATAAAGTGAATTGCAATAAAATGTTTTCGGTTGGCTTGCTTAGCTTTTTTTGTTTTCAAAAATTGAATTGAATTTTACACTTTTTTCACATTGACTTTGAAACACGTCTCGACCGAGCTTATTGTAGTAGTGCACGCAATATCGGAAAATCTTTGACTGAATGACGAGTGAAATCGCAAAATTTCACACGCACGACCGTGTGCTTTTGGCAAGTCAACGAGTCGAGCTTAACTTGCGTGTAACCGTAGAAAGCTTAGCTGTTAGCGCTAGTCCAAAATATATCAAGTGATATTTGTTTATAAACCCTTTGATGTCGATGTTTAAGCGCCTAATATATTATGCCTTTAGTCAACCGATTATTTTTGCATTTAATATGTTTACGCCTAAAAGCGTGCTTCAGCGCAATTTCGCTTTAAAAATGCGAGCTTCGAGTTTGTGGTGAGTTTGCAGCGTTTAAATAAAAGTCGCTTCTACTTAAATTGACAGCTGTCATTAGTGGAATTATGTAAATATGATAATTTTGCAGCGCGCAGTCGCATATATTAGGAGGCGGAGCAAGAAGTTATGCTCAGTGCTGGTTCTCTTCTTGTTTGGCATTTCACGAAACAACAAATGTCAGAAATCAGCGTTGATATTTTGACACTTTGCAAGCTGCACTGTAAATAATTATTGAGCAAGTTATACATTTTAAATTTTTTTATAAAAAGGAGAAGTAATATTTTGACATTTAATCAAAGGAGTAGGCAGATTTGATAATTATACTATTACCATTTCATTGCAATGAGGATTAGGACATTCTAAAATACTCGAAAATACCAAATATAGGTATAGTTTTGACATTTTTTTCTGAGAATAAGGAAAAACAAATCAAATTTCTCTATTTTTTTTAAATTTCTTTATTAAACATATATTTGAAGACTTTTTATGTATTGAAATTTTTACACAAAATAACGACTACTTAGCCTATTTTTAGAATATCCTGTTTCAAGAGCTCCGCATTGAACAGAGAAACGCTTTCTTCCTCCTCTCCTCCCTAAACTGTACTTTAAGGCCACAAAAATTTTAAAATTCTATTTCGGCCTCTTAGCATTCTAGCCTAAAGACTCGAATTTCGAGTGTGTTTTAGCAATTTATTCTTTATTTTGCGTCCTTGAAGTACAGGTGGTGCCCTCGTCGCAACGATTTCTTCCCTTGTAATCTGTGTTTATCATCTATAAAACAAATACTGATGGATTCTTTATTACTAGGTATGCGTTATATCAATAACCTGCCAAATTGAAAAAAATGCATAAAATAGCGGCTACTCAAAAATGTAGGTCGTGTTTTCCACTAAATTTTTAATTTTCTGTAAATTTTAAAATTATTAAAAGTTTCGATTTTTCATTTTTTGTTGCTACATGTGGTAAAGAGATATTTAAGGAATAATTAAAATAAATCGAATGATTAGAACTTGAGATATTGTGGCAACTGCAACGAAAAAATTTGTTTTGAGGAAAACGCGTTCAAAATTTAATTTTCAGACAACGTAACTGACCACTGACGCAACCAGTTGCCTCGAGACCACCAAGGGGTATATAATTTAAATTTTGAAAAAATCCGTTAAGGGAGATAATTTTGAACATCTAAACCATCGAGTTATGAAAAAAAATTAGTTTCGATCAGTGGAAGGGTAATAACTAAGAATGCTAGAAGAATTTGTAGTCCGATTTCACAAATTTCTGGCATCTGGCATACCAAACTATAGTTTAATGAATAGATATTAATTTATTAAAAATTTCTTTTATAGTGACTCATGTATACGTTATAAGGAAGGATCGAAGAGCTCTTGTCATATTTGAAGCCTTTTTCATGAGATTTACCATATATCAGCAATATCATTTAATGTATGTTTCGATAATAAAGTCAGAAACAAGCACCACGGTAATAGGAGCAAGGCACTCGATACCACGTCAGTACTATACGGTAAATGACTTACCAAATCGATGTTTTAGGTGATCAAACATGCCGTTTTTTCAATCGATGTGTGAAAGCTCAAATTATCGGTGTTTAGTTTTCTTAATCTTCTGAAAGACAACTGGCGTAAAAATGGTTGTGTACCACTCAGAATTTTCTGTTCTGCGTTGTTCTAATGACATGTTTGCGACAAGGCCAATTGTAAGTTCTTTGTTACGAACAGCTTTTGTTGGATTCGGCTCATTTTGAAAAACCTATACAGTCGACTGTTTGTAAAGTTTTCAGTGAATAATTTTCAATAATCTTTTGAATAGCCGGAATAAAAAAGCAAGCGACCGAAACTGAATAATTCAAATATGTAATTCACAAATAAAAATATTGAAAAACAAAACAAACAAAAATTTAAAAAAAAAATGTGTATAGAAAACAGTTACTTTTTGGAACTATCCAATTTTCCGAATTTTCCTCATGAAAAGTATAAGATATTTTTATTTGTAAACCTTCCCCAATCGATAGCGAATAACCTCTGAAAATTTCATCAAGTTTGTTGGAGCCATTCTCTTAGCGAGGGCTATTTTTAGGGGTTTCCCGGAAATTATTCGAAATTTTCTTGCCCCAAAAACCATGCTTGAACCCCAACGGCCACATTAAAAAAAGAATTATCAAATTTGGTTCAGTCGTATAAAAGTTATGAGCGTACATACATTTTGGCGATTCATTTTTATTTATACATACATATGTATATGTATGTAGATTTAAAAAAACTATGGATTTAAGTACTAAAAGTGTTTATTCAAAATCATTTTTTATTAAAATTTTAGCAGGCAATTTATGAAGGCACAGTATGTTTGTTCAAAATATATTATGTTCTTATAGTATAAACTGAAGACTATTCCAAACAAAAACTCTTTAACACTGTCTTCGAATTGCCACTGCTCTGCCACGTTGCTTTGTGCTCACCAAAATTTAAAAGTAAAAGTGAAAATTAAATTTCTAGTTTTAAATTTGCAAAATAAAACATACAGTTAGCCTCTTTATTTTGCAACTATTTCTGATATGTATCAGTATTTCACATATGTATATGCCAGTTGTTTGTTCGATTCACTCCTCAGAAGTGTTTGGCAAATCGAAAACAGCTATCTGTCATACCTATGTATATACATATGTGTATTATATGTTAATTCATATAGAAATTACTTTTATAATACAACAGCACTTTTCTTTGTTATAACTACTTAAAATTATGAGAACCGTCTAAATAAAGGCTAGAAATACAGGCATACATTATATAACTGCACTTTATTTACATAAATTTATGCACCTTTTTCTGCACATTACAAACCAATTTTAGCCTCAAAACGACACTGATCACCCATCCACCACTTCTCGATGTCTGTATATGTTTGTGTTTTCTGCCTAAAAGACACGCTGTGCAACTTCGCACAGAGATCACAAAATGGTGAACGAAAAGTCAGGCGATAGTAGCGTCGCCACCAGAAGTAACGCATATACTCCTCCGGATGCGTGGCCACATAACGAAGGTACGCAGAAAGCTCTGCAGCGCTTTCGAAATCTTCAGCATCTATCACCGAGTGTGGTGGCACGAAGCGACTATAATCGGCGCCACCAAATACAACTGGTATCACATAGCGTTTCATAGCATTATACAGCTTCTCGGTCACATAATCATTGCACAACGAATTCTCGAAGGAAAAGTAGAATTTGTAACTTTTGTCCAATAGTTCATCACATTCATTTGAGGTGTAAGGACAGCTGCAAGTAGAAACATTGTTAATAATTTAATAGTAACTCATTTCACAAATCAGATACTAAATATGAATATATAAGAAATAGCCAATTTCATCTACTTATATAACTAATTATTTTCTTTAGATGTCAACTCTGATTGAAATAATAATTATATGAATTACTCAAACCCTCATACATGTAGTCACTGTTCGTATTGTAAACTTTTTATCGAGAATTCAGTCAATTTGAGAGATATTTTTATGAAATTAGGATAAAAATCTTTCCCGATTATATTATGCCTGTATGTCAAATACGAATGTAATCGGATAAATAATTTCCTTAGATCTGATATACCCAATTGAAAGGTTTTCAAACTTCCAGTTGATTTTATTTCTCATATATGGATCAATATATACAATATCTTAGCAACTGAGCCTATAATATTGGATATACTATAGTTTAATGCCGAAAATGTGCGAAATTGATTTACGAATTACCTCAACTCCCTTATACTACATAGGACGATTTGATCTAACAATCCCTATGCTGAATATGTCGGTCAGTGTAAGAGTGTTATATACATAAAATTGCTTAAAAATATTTTCTAAAATATATCTGAGCAATGTCAAAGCTAGTCAGCTAAGAGCTTTTTCTGCCCCCAACATACCTTACATAGTGATTTTCAAATTCTCAGCGTACTTTTAACTTTTAGGTTGGTTAAAATGTGTGATTTTTTTGTAAAATTAGATGGAAGAGCTTCTTAAAAATTATGTGGTTTAGAATTGGTTTTGCTTTTGCTCCAAACCATATGGAAATACGAGAGGTTTTCGAAATTTCTATTTCTTTTATTGATTTATTTATTTATTTTTATTTTTGACACACATATTTCTACAATATTTTCCCAAAGTTTGAGAGATCGTGTTTAACCCCTTACATCCGTAATGTAATGAATTCCGACCATTTTGTTAACATCTTCGACATCAACTCAATATATTATATTTTGCATCTTCGATTGAGTTTATGTAAGATGTTATTTGAGGATGATTTTAATGCAGGGCTTCTACAGTCCCTTACTGTTGCAAACTTTTTGCGGAAAGTTGCCACCTGTTTCAACAAATGCCTTTTCACACAATACGCTCGATGTTTAGGAGACTTATTCCGTCTTTCGTCCGACCATATTTTACAAAGAAGCTGGTGCGTGCTCCTTATCAGTTCTTCGCCGCCGTGTTTGAATAGCTCGGCCGGCAATCTATTGGGCTCCGATGCTTTGCTGTTCTTAAGACGGGTAATTGCTATTCGAACTTCTTCATGATCGGGCAATGGAAAGTCTGCTCCATCGCCATCGATTGGGGTATCGGGTTCGCCTTCTCGTGGCGTTATACTTTCACTGCCATTAAGCAGGCTGGAAAAGTGTTTCCTCCATAATTTTAGTATGCTCTGAGCATCGGTGACAATATTACCTTTGGGGGTTCTACGAGAGTATGCTCCGGGCTTGAAACCTTCTGTTGGCCGCCGCATTTTTTCGTAGAACTTTCGGCACTCCTCGTCGTACCAGCTGTTCTTTTGCATTTTTTGAAAACCTATGGTTTCGGTTGCAGCTGTATGTAAGGAGCTTGAAATTCCGGGGACAGCCAAGTAGATTGATTAATTTTCCTATGCTGAAATCTAGTACTACAGATAACCATATTTCGGCCCCGGCGAAGGCGATCAGCCTCAACCCAATCCCAATAGTCCAACAAGCTTAGTATATATACATATATCTGAGATATTTTTAGATGTGTTGCCCCCCTTGCAATGCTCTTCATTTATTACAAAGCAACAATGACCCAACTGAAAACTAATAACTGATACGTATATAATGAATAAAACATACATATCTGAATAAATATTGCTACTGGGTTGATTTCTTATCTTTAGGGCATTGATTATTTACACTCGCTTGTAAAAGCTTCAATTTTGTCGCACATAATTTTACGTACACATGTTTCTTTATCCATAATTTTTTATTGTTTACAGTTATTACCGTGTTACCCACCAAATTCAGATTTTAGAACCGCACCTGCTGCAAACAATAGCTTGTTAATCTTATGAAGCGTGCGATAAATGAGACTTATTACCGCTATGACAGCTTAGGCTAGATACTATCTTATCTGATTCTTTTATATGTATATATTTCAACCTAATTGCAACAACAATAATATAATGTTTGGGAAATGTTCGACTCGGGCTCACTTCAATTTGCCGTACGCATATGACCAGCAGTTCGAGGGTTAGTCACTAAAGTTTCTATGCCTTAAAATGGCTCATATTGTGTAATAAGCGAAAGTAACTTATGACCGTAGTTTCGAGTCTTCTCTAATTCTTTTCTATATTCGTTTAAGCAACTCACCTGAAATTGCCGCATTTCCCATAAATATCCACGGGTATGTGCTTCTGCAATGCCGCTGCCAATTTTTCACGTTTCGACAACGTCTCACAATGCGACACAAACCAAGCAGCCATACGAGTTTTACCCTCCCATAATTGCGAAACGTTCGTGTCATTCCACACGGCCGGTGTTTGACGCCACTTGGGCCGAATCGCCGGCGCCACTACCGCGCCTGTTTCAATATCTTCGAACATTTGATAGGGCCACAGCAGGTCCGAATCGAGTCTGTAACTCATAGTCAAGTTGTAGAAGCCACCCTCATCGGTGAGTACATGTTTAGTCTCGCCCGGCGGTTCCATTAAAGCAAACACGTATAGCTGATGCGGTTCACGTACGCGCGGCGCGGAATACAAAAGAGGAAACGGTTCGGCCACATGGAAGAGCACTGCATCGTACATTTCAATGGCGGGCAAAAAGTCGCGGTTATTCGTCAAATCACAACGATACACCGGACAATTCATTTTATCGCGAAAGTAGTCTGGACCAAGCGTATCCTCGTCGAAACCCCAACGTTTATTTTTGAAAAAACTATTCCAGAAGAGTATGGTGCGCGGTCGGCCGGCTTCGACAGCTTTTGCTTCATTTCGAATTTGACGTTGATAGGCGCGTAATATTCTGTACTGATTAAACTCGGGCACATTACTTAACAAATGCACGATACCCAGAAAGCTGGCACAGGTCACCAGAATCACGAGCAGTATGGTGCACTTTTTACGTTTGTATATCGTTTCCTTCGTTACGTAAGTGACGTTTTCAACTGCGTTCGCTTCCTCATCGCCCCTACGCTCGAGCAGCGAAGCGTCAATAAACCGGCGTTCGGTATAACGCATGGCAGCGCCAACAAATAAGTGCGTGCTCGATTTAACCACCGAATGGTCACCCGAAATTTGTCTGTATGTCGCGCGATGTAGTTATGTAATATCGATAATAGTTCTCGGATTAGCTGACTTCTTGCCGCGCAGAGTTCGCCCTTCAGTCCATCGCTGAGTTGTTTATTTAATTAGATAAGCATATGCCGGTGACGCTAATAAATACATAGGAGATCATAGACAAAATACTTAATCATTAGTAGATATTCAACGGAAACATGTATTTGTAGGTATGTATGTTGTTATAGACAAGAAATGTGTACAATGTACAAATGTTTGTCAATACCTTTAAGTACATAGTCACAATTTCTGGCATTTGTAAATATTTACACACATGTACGTACATACATATGTTTAGTACAGCACTACCGCCAAGCAAATCACACTATCTGTGCACTAAGCAAATACAAATACATACGTATACGACTAAGCCCAGGGGGTTGAAGGGTAAAGAAAGAAATGAAGGAAAATATTTTTTATTTGAGGATACCTAGTGTCAAATTTTTGTTTTGTCTTCACATACTTCGTTAATCTCGGCCAATAAAAACAACATAAGATTTCAAATAATTTTTGTGTGTTTTGAGAAAGTGTAGCCGATCATTTCAATCAGCTTATCTTTATACGCATTATTTTCAAAAGCGGCAATTTTAGTTTGGGAACAAGAAAAAATCACACGGATCTGGTGAATACGGTATTTGATCATTGCGTTTTTGGCTTTAAATTCGTTCGTTCTTCCCAATTTCGGCCGTTTTCGACGAATATTCTTACACAACCTTCTCAATACGGGCAAATAGAACTCCTTATTGATCTCTCTCCGAAACCAATTCATGATACACCAAAACACGAATATTCGAAATTCCATTCCAATGATTGTTGACTTGTTTTGTTTACTTATAAAACTTATAAACTCTTGTCTCATCGGCAGTTATAATGTTCTCCATGAATATGAGATCGGGATTCGCACAATCAAGCATGTTTAAAGCTACCTGTTTACGGTACTCTTTTTGAAAAAATTCTGCTTTAGAGTCACTTAAGCATTCAAACGGACTCGCGAGGGATGTCGAGGTCTCTTGCCACCTCCCTAAAACTTTCCTCACAATTCTCAATCAATATCTTTCCCTTTTTTAATATTTTCATCGGTTGAAGAGGTCGAAGGTCGTTCAGAGCATGACGATCTTCGACGATCTTTTACAAAATTTACTAAAAGTGTCCTATCGGTGAGTTATGTGAAATTCAGACTTTAGCTCACAGCTGGTACAAGTCAGCTGTTTTATTAACTTTGTTCCTGTGTTTTGACAACTGATTGTTAATGGTTACATTTTCATAAAATTACTCCATAATTGTTTTTACAAACCTTTCTTTCAGTTGTAAACAAAGAACAGCCCACATGAGAATTATTTTTAGCAATTTTATGCCCGGTGAAAAATCTGGGAGTATATACATACACAAATGAAGCTCAGGTACTCGCGAACTCGATTAAAACAGTGCCACTATTATCAATTGTAAACCGCAGTTTCAGTTGTTTTTCATCTCCATCTTCATCTGTTATGTTTGTAAACAACATATGATCGAGGAACCGCTTAAAGAAACCTGAGGTCGCTAAATATCAACTGAACTTTTCGAGGAACAAAGATGAAAAGGTATATTAAAAGGTTGCGATTACTGAAATCAATGTGTTAGCAAGGAAAAATGCGGTTAATGATGTTAAAGAGTATGCTCTTACCAGAATTACTCGGGGAGGTCAAAAACCTCCCTTTTTTGTTATTTTTATTTTATTTTTTTTTTTTTCAAAACACATGCAATGTGGCCATGTGTTGATCAAAGTTTGATTTGTTAACAACAGCGTCTCTTAAGATAATTTAATAAATATCTCTTATGAAGGGCTTTATCTTGATTTTGATCGGCCAGTTTGATTGGTTTTTTCAAAAAGAGCGCTACAACGGTTTTGGTTAACAATAAAATTCTTTATTCCTCTGAAAGTACATTCGATGCCATTATGTATGGAATTCGATTTCATTTCATGGCCACAACGGGCACGCTTTCAGAAGTCCAGACCTTGAACCCAATTGTCGACGGTTTTCAAGCGGTTTTCAAGCAGGTAAAGTACCGGTCTTGATCATCACGGAAGAAGTACGGCCCATAAACCGCACCAAACCGTAATTTTTTCGGGTCGAATAGTGACTCATGGAGTACGCGTGGATTGATGTCTGACCCATAACGCATATTTTGCTTATTGACGAAGCAATTCACCCACAAATTAACCTCATTGCTGTAGATGATTTTCGATGAAAATCCGGATCATTTTCAAATTGTTGCTCAACCCAATTCACAAACATACGACGATTCTGGTAGTCATGCAGCTTCAGTTCTTGCGTCATTTTGACGTAACTAAATCGACGCAGCTGGCCACGTTGATCATTTATATACATACATACATATGTATATACTTCATAGAATCTTCGATTTCTCCTGTTGGATGTTATAAATTCTGTACAAACTTAATATACCCTTCTCTGAGAACAAATATAAAATAAGAATCCCTACTGTGCAGCTTACATATGTCAAAATGTTATTCTATAATAATCAAAGTGTTTGTATAACTATACATATGGATTATCAGATGGAAAAGAAAGTATGAAATTAGCGGGTGTATAAACGTTTTTCAAAATACGGGTAATCATGATTAATGAGTTAGCAATTACTAACGGTTCTATTTAATCTAGTGTAAATATTCCCAAAACATTATTTTCACCCATACTAAAACAATGGCAAACCATCTACATGAGTAATACTCAATTATAGCAATGAAGCAAAGTCACACAAATTTCACGTCGTGCTGACCAAAAATATAAATATAAGCACCGGTTCTATATATAGAGATTAATTATAGACATGTACTGCGTACTTGACGTGAATAAACATATAAGTGATTGCTCGGTTAATAAAATTTGGTAATTGACATAAAATATTGCCTTTCCCACTCTTTGACATATGAACGCCAAAACAGTACGCAATTCATGGAAAACACATGCTCGGTTATTTTGTTCAAGAAGACGTTGAAAATATAAGCGACTTCAAGTTTAGTAATGCGTCGTGAAAAAGGAAAGAGCAATCGTTTAGGAAAATCCAATAAGAAAGATATTGAAATATATATTATGACAAAAAAAGTACCCGGAAATTGTCTTTAAATGTCCGGGTAAAAGATATTTAAAAAGAATTGAGTTTGCTAGGTTGGTAGGACTGTCCTTAATTGATATGCCAAATATGAATACGATCTGACGAACCAGTTTTTTACAGCAGCTACTTAAGTCGGTACACCTCAGTAGTGCGTTGCTTAAAAATCGCTTTATCGATGGATAAAAATATCGAACAAAGAGTTGTCTCAAATTTTGAATTTTTAACCAAATTTCGTGGACGGAATCTCTATGAATGTTGGAAAATGCTTACAGTGATCCAATTTTATCAAAAACACGAGTCTAAAAGTGGTACAAAGCCTTCAAAGACGGTCGAGAGATCCTCGAAGACATGCCTCGTTCTGTATGACCTTCGAGCTCTCCAGCTGATGAAAATATATAATAAGCGAGTTCGTTCAATTGGTTTTGGTGAATACTTTGGGTATGAAACCCCTTCTTGCTCGACTCGTCACAATAAAACTGAACTTTTTTCAAAAGGAGTACAGGTCTCTTCGGACATGCTTGATCATGTCAATTTCGATCCCATATTTATAGAGAGCACTTATAACACTACCGATGAGACATGGGGTTATGAGTTTGATAAGCAAACAAGACGAAATAGAGGGGAAAAAGAACGAAACCAAAAAAAAAAACAAAAAAAACACACGCCAAAGCCGCTTAATAATCAGGGTGATGCTCATTGGTTTTTCGATATTCGTGATTTGGTGCCTCATGAATTTGATCCGGAGGGATAGGCGGTGAATAAGGAGTTCTATTTGACCGTATTGAGACGTTTAGGTGAGAACATCCGTCGAACATGGCCGGAATTGTGGAAGAACAATTTATGGATTTTATACGATGATAATGCAACATCGCATCGAGCCACGAATGAGATCAAATTTAAGACCGAAAATGCAATGAATAACATCCCCAAACTGAAATTGCCGCTCCGTGGAACCAGTTTTAAGTTTAAAGGATCTAAAGGGCATCCCAAAAAGTGTATTAATAGTATTGGAGTGTGCGAGAGCAGGTTTTTACAACTATGTAGATATGTAGGCTACTTAAAACTAAGCAACTTCGAATATGGAAAGCAATGAAAGGAAGGTTAATAACTTTTAATCTAGCGACTTAGACTTATGGAAAGAGAAAACTTTAAATACCTACCACCTTCAAGTCTGGAAGAATTGTATACATCAACAACTGATGAGGAAGATAACAGCTGCTCATATATTGCAGAGGAGTGAAGGAGAACGTTGAGGTATCGGGCCAACTTGGTGTAGAAAGACTTAATACAAAATGATTGTTGCCAATGAAGACGAGGCCTCGAAAGAAATGTAAATGATTTTTCAATAAAGAATAAAAAAAAAACTTACTTTCGGTATCAATGAAGCAATAACATCCTTCAACGATAAAAGACAAGGACTTGATTTTGATAGGTCAGTTTGTTGTATGACAGCTATTTGATATATCTGATCTTAATAACATGTTCAGAGATTATAGCCTAGCCTTGAAAAATAATTCATGCCAAATTTACTGAATATATCTTATCTAAGAAAAAAGTTTCTGTACACTGATTGGATTTTGATCGTTTAGTTTGTATGGCAGCTATATTTTATAATCATCCGATATTGCCGCTGCCGTCAAATGACCAGCTTCTTGGAGAGAAGAGGACGTTTGCAAATTTTCGGTTCGATATCTCAGAAACTGTGACTTATCAAATCGTAAGAGTGAAATCAGTATTCCAATCGCAGCGAAGAATCTCAGTAGTGTGTTTATTTAAGTAATCGCAAAAAATTCACTCAACATTATTGACTTCAACACAGCACAGGGTGAATAATGACTTAAAATCGCCGCTTTTGAGTTATTGCCCTTTAGAGATTAGCGTGCCGTGTATATTTTTGTTTACCAAAGTTTACATATTCGCATCATTGTTGTTGGCTGTCACTGGTATCGAATCACCCAACGGCAAATAATGATCAATA